TTTCAAAAAAATCCAAAGCATTTTATAAAAAATTTAATTTTGGATACTGAAAGTTCCAGCAATTTGCCTTAAGGCACGATATCACGCACCACTAGTTTTATCATATCGATTTCACATCATGTCCTTTTTACATTTATGTCACAAATTGACTAATAACGACCTCCTTCCCCTTTCCAGGGTCGAAAATAGAGCCGGCGATGCCTCGTAGAAAGAAGCACCCCGAGCTCGCGTACCGCGTGCACGAGTTCTACGGCGCTGACGGCTACGGCACGCAAACGGACACCGTGGACAACGCAGCGCCATTCGACCGCGCCAGGGTAACTATTAAAACCGACTACTATTAAACCGTCAAAGCAATGGCCATCGTGCTCCGGCGGGACATACGAATTGCCAGTAGACTGTTTGTTATTACAGTCGTTGAAATGGTTTAACTCAAGCGTCTTATTAGGTATATCCCTATGGAAAGGAATCGAGTTTTTGATTGCGAAAGTTTTCCTTTTGGGAATTTAGATGGTAATAAAAATACCTTCAAGCACAATGTCTTGAGCTGTTAACAGGTTTTGGATATTTTGAGACACTTTTTTTTCTATACAATATGTATTAGTTTATCAAGTTTTTTTCTGATAACATCACATTAGCGTTTTTAATAGAAAGAGACACTATTTTATAAACATAACTCTATAATGGGGTAATTCATGTATATACCTCGACATATCCATATAATTTTTCATGAATGTTTGATTTTTCAAATCTCTCACAAATATATGAGCGGTTCAGTGCACACAATGACTAACTCCAAAAAATTAAAAAAATGGAGCAAAACGATGTACATATTGATCTTAAAAAATTTTGCATGTGACGCCATATTGGCAAAAGATGATCATTGGCAAATAAATGTCCACTTACTAAACTTTTTAATTAATTATCTCGGCTCTTATTTTTGTACTTGAAATTTTATTTATATTATTTATTAATTTTATTTTTATTATTATTTGCTTTTATTTTATATTAAATCATCATACTACGGATATTATTTTAATGTAAATTCTATCCTTTGCACTCTTATTTATTTAAATTTATGTTATTATTTATCATTATTGCTAGATGTTAATTATTTAACAGTTGTAATAAATATTGTAATTAAAAAAAATTATACTTTGCACAAGTTTCAATAAACTTAATAAACTAATAAATAAGTAAGTTTTTCAAATTTTGTAGCGTAATTCTTAATATCCTTTATCAAACAAGGTGAATTTTGTTAAGACCCACGAGATCCTACAGTTTTGGGTCAAACAAACCTATAGTTTATATTTTTACTAAATTTTTGTCATCCGTAATTCATGAATTCAGAACCGAAATCCAGACCAGCCGGAATAGTCCAGTCACTTAAATTAGGTAAGAATCTCGGAATTCGAGATACCCAGCTGTAAGCCTGTAAATACTTGAATATTGACACCCTAAAACTTGTCTCAAAACCTACATATGGTAATTACACTCTATCATATGTATTTATTTATTTATTTATTTTACAAAGCCGTCGGTATAATAATATTATAATAAGACTTAAGTCAGTATTTTATAGGTTTAATATAATTCAATTAATTATTAACTATTTTATTACTTATTTATTTATTATTTAATTTATTTACTATAAACTTATTTATTTATTTTTAGTTATTATAAGTTAATATTATTTATATTGACAAGAGCCTGAAATAATATCTATTATTATTGATTACGGCTTGCTTATGAATGAATAAATAAATAAATAAATAAATATTTAGTTAATTTTAATTATTTTTAAATATAACTAGTTTGTTTGTTACAAGTATTTTTTTTAAAAATTTAATAAGTATTATAATAATCTTTACAACACTTTTACAATATAATTATTTTATTTAATGAATTTTAGGTTATTTTATGATATTTTAACAAATTTAAGTGTCTTATATTATTGTTATTATTATTAATAATATTATCATTATCATTTTTATTATTATTATCAAGTATTTTTACAATATAAGTTTTTTCTATGAAATTATTATTATTAGTATTTTTATGAAAGAAATATTTTGTTTCACAATTTTGTAAGTGTTTTTAAATTATAAGTTTTTAGTTAACTAATTATTAAGTATTTTAACAATAACAGTCATATAAAAATAGTAATAAAAAAAAGTCAAAATTTTGCTTCACAATTTTTTAAATGTTTTTAAATTATAAGTTTTTAGTTAACTAATTATTAAGTATTTTAACAATAACAGTCATATTAAAAAAAAACAAACAATAATAATAATAATATATGTAGGTTTTGAGACAACTTTTAGGGTGTCAATATATATGTATTTACAGACTTACAGCTGGGTATCTCGAATTCAGAGGTGAACTTACTATAATGACTGGACTAGAACATATACATCACAGAATGGAGTTAATCAAAATGACTTCTGAAATAGATGACTAATTTTTTAGTCAATAATTCTGAAAAGTTATTATACACACAAAAAGTTATGATCATACAAAATACTTTTACACTAATATCTAATTTTTTTTCAAAAAGTAGAGTTAGTCAGTGTGTGCTCCGATCGGCTCATATAACATTGCTCAATTACACAAAAATTATGTGACCCGATAAAAATTATTTAGCAAATTTTGTAAATAACATTTCTACTTAAATTTTATTCAGCATGATATTTACCTAACATTTTTATAAATTTACACATCGATTGATTTTTACTTTCTATCGCAAAGCGATTTTATAAAAATAGTCTGGATTAAATTTATTTGTATCTAAATATAAATGTTCTGAAGAATTCATATGCTATACAAACCATAGTTTGTGGTCGTTTCATATTGATCTCGGCGCAAAAACCAATTACACATTAAATATGACTATGGCTATGTCGCCGATAGGTTACTTTATTATCGAGGATATTATTTATGAATGCATGCCCAATTGTTATTGATTATTTTTAGATTTCAACGCGCATATACATTTTACAAAAATATTTAGATATTTATTACATTCAATTATCACATCATAAGTAGAACTTTCTCCTTCTATCGAGCTCCAATCAGTTTTTAGATTTTCATTCAAAAATAACATTGTCAAAATTTTGGATGTATATTCTTCCAGCTAACAATGAGTGCCTATAATAAGAAATCAATTTGTATATCATTAAATTTCGTTCCGTTCCAAAACAATTCGAGACAACTGAGATAAAGATCGAGATGTTCAATTTAAAAAGGCAATCATTGTAATTTATTAACACTTTTTAACGTATGCATATCAATTGGCTTTACACTAAATGAGATAGGTTCAACTTGATTCTGATATTACATAATTTAAAACAAAGAAAACTTTTGATTTAATTTTGTGTTGTCTTTTGAGTTTTATCATGAGTTGAGCTCCTAGCATTTTCTTCATATGCGGATAATTGCGTTGCTTGACATTTTTGTCCTTGTGAGTCATAGAGGGTAGTAAAAGAATAATGTGATATAACCCGGACCCGTATGCTATAATACATTAAAGTTCGCTTCACTTGCTTTATAAGTAATCCTAAATATAATATAATTCTATTATTTTGCGATAGCGCACTTTATTTTAGACATCATATATTATGAACACACGTTTTGCAAATGTTTTTCTCGTAAAAAATAGTAATGAGAAATAGTAACAAAAATCGTTTTTATCCCTTCTGCAGTGAGTTTCTTGCTATTTCTTTTGTAAATCAAATGATCGTAAGAACTAATACCGATTATTATTGTAAAAACGTATTACAAAAAGCTTATTTTCAATAAAGTTGTTATGGAACGGATGAAATCATGCTATGTTTGATTCCAAACAATATATCAATTAATTCTTTCAAAAGCAGGGGCACTTATTGTTATTAATCCAGTACATACAATAGACGTCATATTTAGAGAACAATGAGTATTTATTATTATTTTAGTATGTAATTGCATGTTATATGAAAACCGAACTAGACATTTATATTTCACGTAGATGGACAGAAAATGCGTAACTGACAGATGTCCCACATAAATTGTAATGTAAGGCTATATCGCTTATACTAATTAGTATAAACTAACACACGTATACTATATGCTTCAGATACTATTTAAACGACACGCATTTAAATTTCGAATGTCAATTATGAATATATAATAGTAAACTATAATTGTGTGAAAAGGCCTATAAATGCTTTTGCAAATATTGCAATGTTTAATACTAATGTGTTGTGTCAATGTAATTAAATGTCAAATATATTTTAATGATCCTATTGATATATATATATATATATATATATATATATATATATATATATATTGTATTTATGGTTTGCTAGTATATATAGTTATGAGTAACGCCTTACTATTTGACATCAATAAAAGTTTTTGTGAGTTATAATAATTTAACTGCCTTAGCCTAATCTGTTAATGAGTTGCCGGTGAGAAAATACACAGAACAACAAAATCCTTTCGCTTGTATGTTAATTATTTAATTAATGTAATCTATAAAGTAACAGTATGCATATAAAAAATATGTACTTAGACGTTTGTATCTTATATATTCTGCTATATTATTTTTGTACTTGGCATGTTCGTTTTATACTCTCTTAAGTGAATAGCATTGAAAATCCTCTATTTTACTGGTCCACTTTTTCGCATGCTTTCGGTCCCTGTGTGAACCCGGGTTAACCGATAGCAGAGTATTGATTTCATCAATCATCTATCATCCAACTGCTTCTTATAGTCCGTCCTGATAAGCACGATTTAGCATGCGTATTAATGTCTTTTCATTACTCTACTGTGATATTCAAATAATAAGAAAAAATAATTTTAGCAGTAAGCTTTTTGATACGACTTTGCATGAAGATATCACAGTAGGTTAATGTTTTGTCATACTAGGTGAATCGAAAGAGTATTTGAACATTAGTGTTTGCCTATGTACTTTGAAGAAAATCCTTGCTATTCGAAAAAGTAAATATCAGCACCAGTATATGCGTGCTGTATCGTTTCTGAGTGAGTGTAGTTCGCGCGCCTGTCGTATTCGATATCGTGATCAGCATGGATATTGGAATTTGGACATAACGGCCGGAACTTCGCAGGACGATGTATTCGTTTGTTTGCAGTCGGAGGAGAGATCGGCGTTTGGGGCTTCGAGGCCGTCTCGTCGCAGCAAATCGGAAGGTCCTCCTGCAATGAATGGACTTTCGGCGAGCCCCCAGCACCATCGACGCCAGGCGACCCACACGCCGCCGCCGCAACATGACGCGCAGCACGACGACTTGATCGTTATCATGGTACGCAATCGATATCCGCGACTTAGGCGCGCTCGGCAATCGCATCATCGTTTTTGATTTATAGTTCTCTTTCATAGAATGATATTTAGGATGGTTTCAGAAAAAAAATAACGAAAGGCTTCGATCAATTGTAGCTGGTGGATTCTCAAACAAAGCATGTACCATGTGAAAAAGTCACAGACAGTATAGGGGGCGTCCATTAATTACGTGAGGTTTTTAGGGGGAGGGGGGGTCTGACAAAAAATCACGAAATATCACGTAGGGGAGGGAGGGGTATAGTAAGATATCACGTGTATTTATTTTTTAACTGACTTTTTTAAAAAAATCAAACATTTCCAAATAAAATTTAAAAAAAATTACAGTTTTATCACGTAACTGAAAATACACGTGATGTTTGATGGGGGAGGGGAGGAGTAATCTTGAATATCACCATGAATCACCAAGAGGGAGGGGGGATCCTTAAAAACTCGCTCACGTGATTAATGGACGCCCCCTAATACGTTTTTTTTCATAGCGCTTGGTTGCAGGTTGCTTATATTTCAACATTTATGCAAGCTTTGTGATTGAGATACCGCTGGCAGCGATTAGGCGCAAGATTTCGATAAAAATAAATTTTATTGAAAAATTCAACTTTAATTTTATATATTAACCCTCCGTCGGTCGGATATTTTTTCACCTTCGAACGGTCGGAGTGGTCTGGCTGGACCACCATTCATTTTACATGCATTTATATGAGATTAATGAGATAAATAAATTGGTGTCTTATATATTAACGATTATTAGTAGTAAATATTTATAGTTTAGATTTTTTCTTTTTTTACCGTCTTTTGCATGTGTTGAGCTTGCTTACAATAAAAAAAAATTATATAAAAAAAATCAAAGAATATAAAAAAATCGTTGCTTTTTTATTATTTTTATTTTTCTGTTTTATATCAATGAAAAACAATATTTATTCTTTTTCGGCTCCTTCGAAATGAATGTGAAATTCAAATGAAAACGAAATAAGGTGCGTCGCCTTTGAAATGAGCTGTAAAATTCAAGTTGAAAATATAATTTCACTGCAGGTTTGCCAAAAAAAATTTCGAACGCACTACGGATAGAAAAATTGTTGATAATGTATGCATTACTCATCCGATTTTCAATGTTTGCGATGACCAATAAGTTCGGTAGGTTTTCAAGGAACTCTCGTCATGAAAATACTAACATTCATGTTAGAACACATAGCAAAGAATATTAACAACGCAGTTTGAATAGAAAATACCATGAAAAAAGACAAAATACTGGTTTACATATATCAAAAAGCGTATATTTCATACAAAATGTATGGGTGGTCTAGACAGACCACTTCGACCGTTCGAAGTATAAAAGAGTTAATATCCTTATAATTATCCTTCTGTACATTTTTTCGTCCTGATTTTTTCATTGATCGACAGGTAATGAAATTTTAGGAAAAGTCAAGAAATTTCAAGTCGATAGGATTACTAGAAGTACTTTTTTTTTAATTGAAGTCGAAAAAAGTCTGGCCAGACCACGCCGACCGACGGAGGGTTAATTCTAAACTCAAATAAATTGTTGCATATTGTGCAATTTTAAAGCACCTTTGAAATAGTTTTAATAGGTACCCAAATTTATTTCGTTTCACATAAACATGCAATAAACTTTTTGATCTAAAGTGTATAAAGTAAGTGATAACAATAGCACGAATAAAATTGTGCTATTTATTTATTTAGTATCGTTATGATTTACCCAATTTTTCTAAATTAAGCATACATTTTTCAATTTATACCTTTATAGGGCGAATAAAAAAAATCACAAAATTGTTTATAATTTTATCATTTACTATTGATACAACTTATCTATCCATTTCCTCAATTATTAACCAAAATCATACCCCATTCAAAACCGATCCATCATAAACCGTCAATCAAATACGCACTATTCTAATTGGACTATCAGAGTTTGATTCGTGCATTGAATCAGTAATTGGGAGTCTTCGTATCCTGCTGGATTGACTCGATTTTGCATAAAGCTCTCCCGGAGATCGTACGAGGCTTTCCGTAGAAGATACGACTTATGATAATGAAGGTTAACGTTTGTCGCGTGTGTTTTGATGTAGAAGAAAATTATATCGTTATATTAAAAGATTTTTGCACGAAAGCGAATAAAATGATGAAATAAATTTATATTGAATTACATGAAAACATCCGTAATTTTTCAGAGTCACATTTTATCTAATAATTTAATATTTGAAAAAAAACTAAACAGATCAAGTCCATTAATAATCTATTATAATATAATAAGCTAACTGAACAGTATATACGATACTGCGATTGCTGATGCTGCATTCATAATATTTCAACGAGTGATTTTTTCTACTGTGATGGAAAATGGTATAAATTTAAGTTTTGCTTGATATGTTATATCGCGAACGGTTGTTCTGTGCATCTTCGCCATCAGGCACATGTTAGGGGTAATAAGAATCACTGGTAACACATTCAACCACAAATTTCAAACATGTTACTAATAACACAAACAAAACCGAGAATGAAACAAAATTTGATGACAGACACGATTTACAATTGTTTATAAAAATTCTCTTTATAATAAAAATTATTTTAGGGACAAAAGTAACAAATGACAAATAAAGACAACTGTTAATAATGTTTACTGTATTTATCATATTATTAAATATAATTATAAATAAAATATTAATATATAAAATGCATTACGAACGAAATTATAAAAACATACTTATTATAGTTAAACGAAATAGAATCGGTTTAGTATGTCCGGTCCGGATATATTGACCAAACGCGTATTTGACGTAAATATACTACTTTGATTTTCACATAAAATTCTTATAAAACAGTCGTATATACTTGCTTTTCTTACATTGACATATCGCTTATAATGACCCATTTTTAACAAAATTATGCCTGGTTATAATGATCGACATGTTTTTACACCTCTTTAACTGGGGGAGGTAAAAAAAATAGCCATGGTTTTTAAGAAAAACAAAGAGAGCTTAACTGTTTTGCCTTGTGCTAATGACTGCCGCCCCCTTTAAAAGCTGTTTTCACCACTTTGTACTGTTTTTGTGGTTTTATTATTAACCTAATTATAAAAATAATTATGATTACCGACCGATAGTCCGGAATTTTTAACAGTCTGGCATCTTGACCGGTTACGGGCCTGCCGGACTAATGGACTTTTACTGTACACACATAGTTACAGAAAATAGTTTTTTTCGGAATGGTATGACGTCCGCTTATTACGACAAGTTTTTGGGTCCCTTCGATGTCATACTAAGCGGATTTTACTGTATATATACATAATATATATATATATATATATATATATATATATATATATATATATATGTTAGGGTGATCTTTAATATGGACATTTACTTGCTCCCAAGGGCTCAAATGGTTCCAAATTGATAATCAATTCTCTGAAAGTTTTAGCTCTTAATATTGTCTTTTAGATAGAGCGCAATTCAATCAAAGTTTTGTACGGAAATAGCATTAAAAAAATTTCAAAAATTTTGCAGTACGTAAAATTTTCAATAAAAAATGACACGAATTTTTACTTTTAATACATTTGTCGCTAAGTTATACCTAAAAATTTTTTTTTTAATTTTCAAAAATTTTTCCATGCTATTTCCATACGAAGTTTAATTGAATTGCGCACTATCTAAAAGTTAATATTAAGAGCTAAAACTTTAAGAGAATTGTTTTTTATCAAGTTGGAACCATTTGAGCTCTTGGAAGCAAGGAAATTCGGAAATGTCCATATTAAGGACCACCCTAATATATATATATATATATATATATATATATATATATATATATATACTGGAAATGTTAAATATCATTCGATTTCACAATCCATTAATCATTGAATAATGCTAAGGAACATTTATTGAGCACGTTTTTCCTCGATTATTTGGAATCTTTACAATAGTATGTTTCGTTCTGAGAATCGAATAAATTTATGTCATGTTAAAATCAGTGCTAGCAGTACGTTTGTATAATATTAAAGCTAATAGCGACATTATTATAAATAAACGAGTGAATCACTGAGTGTCTTCTGGGACATCGGGCTTTCAATTTATTTCATACAGGATGCCGTAGCACCAAGTAACCGTGCCGCAGCTGGGGGAGGCGGCTTGTTCAGCAAGGCCATTTCCAAGTTCAGTACTGAATACCGGTTACAGTTCGCCTGGCCGCCCAGCAAACGCATCAAAGAAAAGGGAGCCGGTCACGACGCAGCGCCGCCCCGCAAGTCGCTCTCGATGGGCGCCATCAAACCTACTGCCAATGGTGTGGGTCCCGCTGCAGTACACCGAAAACGCACCGATCTCGAAACCACGAAGGAAGGTGAGAGCTGGATTTATTAAGGGGGTTGTTCGATTTTTATTTATATTTTTCGATTTTGAGATTTTTTGATATTATGAAAGCTAAAAACCTTAGAATTATTAAAAAAAAAATCATCTCAATATCTACTTTTTTGACGAAGTTATAGATATATATATATATACATATATATATATATATATATATATGTATGATCCTCTGAAACCGTTTTTTTCATCGCTCCGCGAGCTATTGTATGCCAGCTGCTCTCTTTTTCATTATAATACCTCATGCACATGACCTTTTTAATGATGACCATCTTTGAACACCATGGTGTATTTAGTACATTATATTAAAAACTTTAAATACGTTTTTCTCAAAATGACTTTTCAATGCGGTGCCACAAATTAAAAAAAAACTACAAGTCGGATCGACTTGCATTTTTTTTAGTTTGTTCACCACTGCAATACCTAGTCCCCCTACCTCAAACAACTTGATAACATAACGCAAAAAATTTTTGCGAAGCTTTTCGTCCCAATAACAAGGCCTTTTTAACACTTTTATATCAAAATAGCTGCCATTTTTTTCCTTCTAGCTTTATTTCTTTCATTTTGGTAGGGGGGCTGGATTTAAACTTCTTCTTCAACGTAGTTTCTTTTTTTTTTGTTTCGGGCGATCCGCAACGGATTTATCTGTGGCACCGCAAAAGAGATCGATTTTGCAAGGCTGACTTGGGCGCCCCCTGGTTAAAAAGTGACAGCGAAAAAAAAGAAAAAGAAAATTTCGTAATATTCTATGATTTTGTAATTTTTGTTTAAAAAAAACCGCATGTCTCTATGATAAATACATTTCGAGAAAAACAAAAACAAATACCTTGCATTTTTTTAAAAAAAAGAACAACCCTCTTAAGGCAGCTATAACATAATATCAAACAAAATCATGATCACGCAAATCGTGTTTTGAGATGTTACTACATTTTACCGACAAATTTCACATAAACGTGTTTTCACCAAATTGAAAACGCTCTTGTTGCACCATTGTTACGTCATGTCCCAGCACGTGACAATTGTCTATTCTGATTATATAATTATATTTCATGACATAGAGAAGAGAACTATTGTAGTTTTGATTTTGTTATTAAAATGAATAATAACTTACTCACACTGGCATAAAAACGGCATTGGCATAAAAATGGTACGTCAGCCAGCTGATACCACTTTCATAAACTCGTACTTTCGAATTTAAACATGCTCTCTAAAACAATCCAAATTATTCTATAAAATATGCTTTGGACATATCGCACCTCCGCAAGAAATGTGACAACTTCAGATGTCACTTTTTGTGCGTATTATATTTGTATTATTCTTGAACCCTGAAAACTTTAAGTAATTTTTTTCATAATTAAATTAAATAACAAAAATATAAAAAACCGGCACAGGTCAAAATAGGTTCGAGTTTAAAAGGTTCTGTATGCCACTAAAAATTATCACGAATGTTCAAAATAATTAGTTTTAATTTAAGATAGTAATCTGCATTTAGTTCAAAGTTCTTTATTTTTGCTCTACTCAAAATGTAACTCTTTGACGTGTGTCACTTTTCTTGCGAGTGTGCGATATATATTAAAATCCTTTACAGTAATTGCTATTAATAATAATCCATAATGCGGTGTTTATAATATATATAAACAAAATATTATATTTTAACAAATGCGCCAATAATTAGATACCTAAACAGCTTTACATATTATCGATAATTAAAAATTTTAATCATTGTTATCGAATTCAAACGAGTCAAAACCTATAAATTATTTACTAATTAAATGCACTAGAATTGAATTTACTAGAAATAGAATATAATTTGAAAAAAATAGATTCCAAATTTTATTACAAGCCTTATATTTATTCTACAGCCTTGAAATTTAAATATGTTATACCTAAAATTGACTACTGTAACAACAAATACTAAAATCGATAAATTTTAATGTAAAATTTAAAATGTTCTCAAAAATGTGATCAAAGTACAAGTGAGTTGAACTGTTCCTTAGCGATACAAGAAATAATAAGCTTAAGAATCTACTAATTTTCTATTATTGCTACATCGATTTTGTTTTATTTTTCTTTTCTTTAAGAGCTTTACTAACATCTATAAAAAATAGTTAAACTGTTCTAATACCGTTTGAATTAATTATTTAGAACAAAAGCTTGGCTTTATGTGTAATGCGTGCTAAGTATAGACCTTTGTATAAATATATAACCAAGAGACGCAAAGTATCGATCATGTGGAACGTGACCTACCCGTACAGGTGTTTATTAAAAACTAAGCAGAATATTAGCTTTTAATCTAATAAATAACTCTCATATATTTAAGTTGAATATTTAGTGTCAACTTTACACTTTCTATATCTGAAGAAAACTACTACACCAAAAATGATTATTAAATTTTAAAAATCAAGAATACAAGTCTTGATAAAAGTTTGTCCACGCACAACTTGTAACTCTATCCATATATTATTCATACAACAATTACAAAAGTTAGTAGTTTTCCCCAACAAGATTTTGTGATATCGGATTAAGTATTCATAAGTAACCCCCACATTAATATTATTGGAATTATAAGTTATTTATTATTTATCTCATGTATGATATCGTAGAAACTTATCCTAATGAATTTTGTTCGACAATATGAAACATAAGAATTAATTTAGCAAAGTACATAAAAATGAGCGCAAGCCACGGAAAAAGGTAACTCGTTGTGTATCTCTTTACACCATAAAAAGCTTGCTTATGTTTGTTGTTTTCTCACTTGAAATTTTAATAGGGTTATTAAAAAGTTGTGAGTTGTACTTTTCGCTATTGTCATTAAGATAATTCTTTGTCTCATAGAATGTTTTTAAGTAATAAAATCAAATCATTATTCCTTGTTTGTTCATTCCTAAATCCTTGCGGTATAAAACACCTGCACTAAAAGCTGCACCACGCGATAAACCATGTAAAGGTCACATGTAGCTAGAGTAGGCCGTATCGATTTGTTTTATATTTCAATTTATGCCTCTATATTTCAGATAACAATCATGAGCTCGAACCGTTGGTTATGGAACCGGAGGCTTCTGAAAAAGAAGCAAACACACTGGACGAAAAGCAAGCTATGAATAAGTAAGATCACTTGCATAATAGACAATCTAGCGCAGTACAATATTGTATGGTGGGCATTTGTTGATTTGCGTTGCGCAACATTTCAAGCGCGCTCACACATGATGCGCTTATGTATATTTGATGTTTTTTAAAAGAATGGAAATATGCAGAGCAAATTATCATTTGGCTGTCATAGATAAATAGGCAATTCTACGTCTTTCTTTAATCTCAGGGGTGGTAAACAATTTTTGAAAAGCTTTCTGAAGGACCGTGACATTATTTATCCACAAACTGGACGATATATACCTCGACTATTACCGTTATTTTTTATTTTTAAAGTTGGTCTTATAAAAATTATACAAGTTAGCAACTGTCATATTCACTACCACTAGCGATGTATGGGCATAGTGTTAATTGTTTTTTTATTAATTGAAAAAAAAAATCGTAATATTGTATATGACTCTTGATTTGACAGTGTTAACAATTTGATTTTTTGTTTTTTTTTAATTACTAAATTTTCAAATTTTACCCTTTCGTAGGGGAGACAGCGATCCTCCCAGTGTCTCTACTAATAAAGGTGACCATATTTTTTTAAGTCAAAAACGGGGCGTGAACGGGGAGAGGGGGTGCCTCTAAACTAACAAATGCTATTCAATTCAATGAGACAATACAAAAAAAGTTTTTTTATGAATCTTTTTTTTTCTAAATCAGAATTGCAGACCTTTAGTAATAACTTTATTATTCTATTACATGTAATACTTCTTAATCTATGATATCATGTTCTATCTTATATTGTTCAATCTAGGTTTTTTCGCTTTTGAGACTTTCATAAAATTCTATACAATTTTCTTCAGAACTAATTTTAAAAAAATAGCACTTGTTCGTTTGCTTTCAAAATTTTTGTTAATTTACCTATAATCCGGGATCTAAATCCGGGACAAACATTGCTTTTAGAAAAACCCGAGACACAAGGTGGAAATCCGGGACTGTCCCGGCCAAACCGCGACGTATGGTCACCTTACTACTAAACCGTCCACCCACAACGAGATACTACAAGATTTTCCAATCACTGTCAATGAAAATGTATTTGAAAATTAATAATTGTACTTCTAAAGAACTACGAATTATAATTAACAAATTAGAATTCATATGATTCTAACTATATCAAAGGATGTCGCCTATAAGCGACACCCTACACACAGGTTGCGAATGACCAGTCACCTAATACCTAATTTTGATGAAACGTTTGTTTGCTATATATTTTCTCCATCATATTTTAAATAATTTCCATACATATCCAAAAATAATTTTTGGAGCTAATATAATATTTTGCTCTTAGAAGTAACTATTATCTTCTCATAGAGAAAAAATACAACTGTGGTCCTACATGTATTTTTCACTACATGTTTATATATGAACGTCATTTTTTATATATACTCGCCAAAAGATTTACTTAATGTCTATATAGGGTAGTTGTAAATATATTGTTGAATAAAAAAAAATAATTTTTAAAAAATCATTTCATAATTCTCTATTCAAATATAAAATCATTTTTCATAAAACTATACTTTACAGGAAAGAAACTAAAATAGAACACAAGAAGAACTTTAGGCCAATATCTCAATTAGATTACATGCATTCGCCTAAGAAAGAAGTTCACATAGAAAAGCACGCAGTGGTAGAGACGTCTACGCCAGCAGATGCTTGGTACAAAGAAGTGTTAGAATTACGCAAAAAAGCGGGAGAATATAAGGTATGATATTAAAATTTTATCATTTTTCAATAATGATTTTTTTTATTATCTAATATTTCATTAGAGCCGCGGTTGGGGTACTGAATTAAGTATAGATCAAGTAGCTGATATATCGAATAAACAAATTGAGCTTTGGGAACAAGTATCGCGGCGTAGTTCCTTATCTGCACTGTCGCTTGCTTCTACTAGCCATAGGTAAATAGACCACTATTTCATGAATAATTTTATTAATTAATATAATAAATTCAAATAATAAATATAAATAAGTTTTAATTTTAACCTTTATCAATAGGTCAATAACGAAAGAGGAGAAAGATAAAGAAAATAATAAGAAAACTCACCGACGAAGGCTGCCTTCATAAAAACACCGCGGGTTCCTGGATCCGCAAAACCAGTGCTCGATAATAAAGTGAGATAATTTACATATCTTCAACCAGTTATGAAAAAAATTAACTAATAAAAATGTATTTTTTCAGATGTTAGACAATGCTAGATTTAGAAAGGAGACAATTCGTCATCACCTTGAGAGAACTACAGGAATAGGTAAAAAATAAATTATTGATAACAAAAAAAAAAAAAAAAAAAAAAACAACTGGCCATCGGTGGCGATATCGGTTAGAGCGTGGGCTAGCACCAACTAGACCCAGGTTCGCTGGTTCGATTCCCGCTACCGCCAAGCCTGACATCAGGCAACTTTGATGTCAAATTTCCACTTGGGGTTATAGATCACAATATAATTCCAAGTGGAAATCGTCCTTCGTGGACATAGTTGCATCATACAATCATATGCACACTATTGATGTAGAGATGTAAGAGCTAATATATAAAACCCCACTCATAGGAGAACGGTGAACCGATGGGTTGCCTCTCATATCAATACCTTAGGTCATAAGTCATACACAAAAACAGCTTATAGAACATTAATAAAAGTAAGAGTTCTGATTGAAAAAAAAATGATAACAAAATAAAAAAATAACACTTAAGATGTTTTCGTAGTTTAGTCCAGGGAGTAGTATTGGTTTAAGCATCAGTTTTCATTGATTTTTTTTATAATTAGATTGTTCTGAGGAAGGGCACTATTGCCATCTCCAACTCTAGAGAAGCTAGTGCCGGTAACGCCAAGAAGTGAAGAGCACTACAGCCCAAAACGTTGCAGCCCTCAAAGGGCAGCCCGCAAAGAGCAGCCCCAAGAAAGGTAGCCCACAAAAAAGTAGTCCGCAGAAATCTAAAAGCAGTCCGAGATCTGGTGAGATTAACCACGCGTATCATCTACTGTGTCCGTGTTGTTAAAACTGTGGTTTTTTATTTTTGTACAATGATGCAACATTTTTTATTCTAGACTTTCTGAAATCTGATTCATTGTGTATAAAATCGATGCATGTAAGTGAACAGAATTAATTATTAACTTCCCGTAGGGCAAGTTATAGTAATCGCAAAAAAATCGAAAATGAAATTTTTATAGATCTTTACGTGTCAAACCTTCTGAACATTTTGGAAAATTTTGGAAAATGAAAAAAAATGGATGTATGTGTGTGTGTATGTGTGTGTGTGAGCGTGTATGCATGTATGTGCGGATACAAATTTTCGTCGACGATTTCGGGAACACGGATCAACCGATTTGAATAATTTAAAAACATTCGATTCGTATTGATAAGGAGACGTGCTGATTAGTTTTTGGCGGTGGCAGGTCTAGCCGTTCCGAAGATACGGAGCAAAAAGTGCCGAAAACGGTAACTCAGTTTTAAAAGAACGGAGCGTCCGATTTGAATAATTTAAAAAACATTTTTTTGTATTGAACTGTAGTTTATTGTAAGAACTGTTCAAATTTTTGGAAAGGCAGTTCCAACGACTTTGGAGATATGGCGGAAAAAGTAATAAAATGAGCCAATTGGCGGTCAAAAATGAACAATAGACATATGCACATCAAATTATCAGATATTTTATAGACATTTAACAATAAGTAAAATTTTGTTTGACATTCCTATGGGTTCCGTAGCACTGTTTACGGGTTGACGGAGACGCGGCGCGTACGCGCTTTTATATTTCATCTTTAATGCAGTTAAAGCAGTACGATTGCTTTGAAAAAGTTCAGAATTTCCAAAATATTTCAAAATAAATGATTTAAGATAGAATGATTTAAAATGGTTCGAAATTCTATTAAAAGTTTCAAATCATTGATCAACTTTTATTGATTATTATTATTTGATTATTTTTAATTACTCAAATTTGAATTGCGGTAAGGGAAGTTCCAGCAATTTACCTTAATTGCTTAAAGACAGAAATTCCACTTACAGCTAGTTATATCTAAATATTCACGGTCAATAAGCGATCGTGGTTGTATTTCCAAAAACATTATTAATATAGGTTGCATTTTTATTTTATAACACAGACACACTTGCGCGTGGGTTTCCTACTGGAAACCGAACACTTATAATCGATACATGGCATGAACAGTTTTATATTTAGCAACACATTTAATTTAAATTTTATTATGTTTGCACATTTTAATATTCGTTTTTACACAGCTTTTACTTTTATTACTTGTAGTCATTTTATTAGAAGTACAGAACAATATGATGATTTGATGTAAAAGAAACTTAGAAAGAAATTTCGACTTAGAACAACAATTTTGGTCTAGAATATGTATCAATTTCATTATGTGTCTAAACAGGAACAATTTTACCGAATGACGCAAGAAAAATATAAAGAAAATAATTTTCAGAACAATACTTATATATGGCATTGGTCAAAATTTTCATCTGACCATGCTATTTTTTACGAAGTTTGCACAATATGAATAACATTGTCTATAACACTTAGGGGCCATTCAAGTATTACGTAAGCACTATGGGGGGCGGGGATTATTGATTTGCTTATTTTGCTTATTTTTGGGTAAGAAATTTGCTTAATTTTGCTGACAAAAGGGAGGGGGGGGGGAAATAATTGTAATAAATCTGCTTACGTAATACTTGAACGATCCCTTATCGAAAGGGAATTTTATTTAATGAAAATGTATTATATAATTAACTTTTTTTAATTAATAGGCCGTTCGCACTCGGTGGGTCCGGAGTAATCCAAAGTGAAAATTTATCGCCAAAACGAACCCCACGACCAGGAAGCACGGTGACCGCCACAACCGCCTCGGCGGCCGCAAACAGAAGAAAAGCCCGACAATGGCAGTATCTGCTGAACGTAGACCAAGACCTAGTGAGTTTTTGTACAACAAGTATGGTTTAAATAATGATTATATTCTGGTGTTTCTACAAAATTCATGATAGATTCTTTTCATTTTCGAAAACTACAGTTATTTGGGAACAGCCAATTTTGCTAAGGAAATGGTTATAAAAACGATTTCAAGTGTCGTTGCGCGAATTTGAATTATATATCATTTCATTAATGATTTTCACACCATTTTAGCTCATTAGTTTACGTACGTTATGGAAGAAGGGTATTAGTTTAAATTTTTCAAATAGTTCATATGAAAATGATATAAATAAATTTAAGTTCTATAATAGTCCAAGATGTAAAAACAATTGGTGCAAACTACATTTTACAGTACCCATTTTAGCGATTTAAATAAATTTTAAATATCGCATTAATGCACCAAACTTTTGATTTTTTTATTCCCTTGACTGAATCACATGAACATAATTATATCATACTTCATTATAAAATTTGGCGGTTATAATAGTAACTTTGATTATATTAATACGTAATCGTTTTTGCGAAAAATGTTAATCTTTAAATGTAATCATACAACGGTGGCAGTCTAGTTGAATTAGATACATTTTTGAAAATTTTATATATATATATATTCAGTAGTTTGTGTTAAAGGTGGTCAAAATATTTATTATTTAGATTATATATGAAATTCAAATACGCCGTAAAGCACTTTTATATTTATTTCTTAATATAGACATTTCATGTTCTTTCCGTAGCATCGAAAAATTGATGTACACTAGTACTAGTACGAAATCATTTACCAACTCACATTAGATAACATCGACCTATGATATTTTCTCTTTCAATAATTGTTCTATGGAATAGGATTTGTTAGAATAGAATATGATTGTCATATTAGCATGTCACAAACTAGTATAAAAAAACTTGGTGACTGGAGCATGCTAGTTGTGATACCCCCTTCATGCTAATTTCGTCAATTAAACTATTAATTGTCCAAGTAATAATAATTGTGCATCACCGGATCATCAATGTCTTCTTGGCAAAATTTATTTTATATATTCGATTATTTGTCGTGAATTTAATGATAATATAAAAATTAAGTAGATTGTGGAGGTTGCTTCATTCAGTACATTTCCTTCACTTAAAATAATTTTTATTATATTATTTATACTTGGACGTTTATCGAAATTGTTCTTGCGATGTATTAGCTTAGAAAATCAATCTATTCTGAATGATTTTTATTCGTCATAATGCATGCGACTATTTGCCCATAAATCGCCAATTAATGTTGAATATGAGTTAAACGTTTAGAAACATTTCATTATATCATAATATCGAGAAAAGGTGAGTTGAAATATTTACTCAGATCAATAAATTTTCGACTTTTATCATTTCAACATTCTGATCAAACTGGAAAAGTTTCAACCTCCACTCTACTCTCTAATTCATTTAACAATAATATAAAGACTATCCTAAACCAACCACAACATAAGTTCATTAGACGTTGAAACAATTCTTAAAACACTTATTATGGGAAACAATCATACAAGTTAAAAATAAGTATCTTACAGGTCATAGTAGAAGTCATTTACTAACAGTACAGCTTTTTAATTCATAGTAATATAGGTAATTTTTATGTCTTCAAATATTTTTCAGCCTTAACATTTATTTGCTTTTGCTTA